TCTCTCTCTCTCACACACACACACACACACACACACACACACACACACACACACACACACGAGTGCCTGCAAGGGTCTGACATACACACACACAGGCCTAGAAAGCAGTTGGACTTTACAGAGCGGCCAACTTATTGGGCAGGCTCGGGCAGCTGGGCGGTTCTCTCTACCCGTCGGTCCCCTGCAAGGGTCTGACGGCTGGACCGCCAGTTCATACCCCTGCGGGGTTTTCTTTTTTTTTTTTTTTAATCATAAAAAACAAAGGCAGCACTGGAAGCTCCCCACCGCCAGGGCCAGCCCCCCATGCCACCAAAACGGGGTTGCCCCCTCCCCGCTGGCCGCAGTGCTCTTCGGCGGGGGCCGCTCTACCCCATTGAACTGGAGGTAAAATGGGGCTAGGGCGGTGTTAGGACGCCGCTCAAAGGTTAGAGTGGAGACCCCCCGTTCTTCCCTTGCCCAGACACTCAGTTGTAGACTGCAGGACGAAACGGAGAAAATGACAGAGGCAATGGCCTGTCACAGAAAGTTCTGTTGGACTTTGACTTGCTCATCACAAAGCCGAACTCACAACAGTCTGCAGAGTGCCCTAACCGATGGCAGCGTATATTGACAATCCACATTAGCCCCATGTGCAGGTGGATACTACCATATACTGTCCTTGTGTGCCTTTCTGCCTAATGCCCACCGAGCAGCTCTCAGTCACACTCTCTGTGATGTCCTATGTAACAACAGCGGGGCTGTGATAGACTTTTGCAGGGCTTTCCCTGATTCAATGGGATGCTGAAGCACATACATACATGAGAGATTCTCAAGAGGAAGCAAAGGATTATCTCCAAGGGGAGAGAGAGAGAGAGAGAGAGAGAGAGAGAGAGAGAGAGAGAGAGAGAGAGAGAGAGAGAGAGAGAGAGAGAGAGAGAGAGAGAGAGAGCTGTGTTCCTCGCGGCTTAAGGCATATGTGCGACGAGAGGGGAAACATTCTGACCTGGGCATTTGTGTGACCAGATGGCTACCAGCTGCAGCCTCTTCTTTTTTCTGTTTTCGTATGTTTTCTCTACAGTTTTTTGCCATCCTATTTTGACAGAAGTGAACAATCAATCTGCCAGCTCCTGTCTGAAAGAATCAGGTGCACCCACATCCTGCAAGCATGCCTTCTCCATATCCTGTAAGTCTGTTCTGACCATTTCTGCCCATCTTTTCCGTCATCCTTTCTCCGGCTCCCTGCCTGCTCCTCTGTCAGTTGCAGTGTCAGTCTGTCAGATTGTAGAACCATCCGCAAGCAATACACCATCCTCATAGAACATCAATCTTCTCTCTCTCTCTCTCTCTCTCTCTCTCTCTCTCTCTCTCTCTCTCTCTCTCTCTCTCTCTCTCTCTCTCTC